AACCTTGTTATTAGGTATCAAAGGATTTAGTATCATTATATACTGTATCAATATATAATGTAACACTACAAAGAAGTTGAAGTCTGATGATGCCAAATGAACACAAGCAAAATGTAATACCAGCTTTGTTTCACCACCTAACACTGCTGATTTTCATTTATATTATAGTTTCTATTAGGCCCTTAGTTAAAGCTGTACAAATAATTAGTATGATGCATTTTTACAACTTTCTATATTTTAAAGGAACAGAACACTTGCAGATATCTTATCCTTTTGTTTTTAGTTTTTATCAGCATATGTTATATATTGGTACGTTTTTAGAAAGTTGGTGAGCTGGACAAAGAATATAAGAAAACAAATTTTTAGACAAGCTGTAGTACTTAGTCTGAGGTGGAACAAACAGTTCAGTTCTTACAATATATACAAGACTAATTTTTTAATAGACAAATTTTTCTTCACTAACTTGGAAATTTGTATATTTTACTGCATATAAAATATTTTTTCAAAAGGCAATTAAAGTTGGTAAGGATAAAAATCTTGAACACCATTGAATCAATACACACAAAGGGTTGTTTGGCCTTGCCTCCTATTCGTTTGTAAATAATAATACCAAATTTGTTTCATTAAACACTATATATATATCAACAGAAAAAGAGAATTTTCAATAATGGTTTTATATCATAAGTGAACTTCAGTAACTATTGGGCGTGTCACAGACCAGTGGTTAGGATGCTCAACTTGCAATCTGTGGGTCACAAGATCAAAACCTGTCACCAAACATCCTTGCCCTTTAAGTTGTGGGGTTATTATAATGTGGTGGTCAATTCCACTATTTGTTGTTAAAGAGTAGTCCAACAGTTGCCCTTGTAATCTATTATTTCTAAGTTAAGGATGGCTAGCTTAGATGGTCTTCGAATAGCTTTGAACAAAATTAAACAAAACAAAATCATTAGTTATTACAAAATTAATCAAATTGAATGTTGGTTCTGATGTTTAACAAACTCTTCTCAATCATTAAAAATGTGTATTTATTGTGATCTTAAAGTACTGTTATGAAGTATATGAGCTTGAGATCTTGCTAATTCTGTGACTTTCTTTATTTTTCTTTGACCTAAACTCTCTTGCCGGCAAGTGACCTACCGACTAAGCTAGAGTTAAGCCACATAGAAGTTGCTAGTAAGGCACTTTTAACAAATTAAACTACCAAACTTAAAGCTAAGAACATTCAAGAAATGTTTCAGTTTTAACAGTAGTTCAAATAACTTTATATATTCTAAACCATCAAAAATACAAGTTATATATTCTGTACAAAAATGTTAAAGTCTCAATGAAAATAAACATACAACCGTGTTTTGCTGATAAAATATTTCAAAACAATGTTCTACTTTAACCTTTTGTACCCAAGAAAAAAGAAGCTGATCCAGATTTTTTTAACTTTTCATTTGGAGATGTCAAATATATAAGAATTCTTTTATACATACCTTAAGTAAGTTAGAAGTGTAAATTCAATTAGACATTGTTGTAGCTACTGTCACATAAAACAGTGTATATTTCATCTATTTGTCCATATAATATTCATTAAATATAAAATGTGACTGTTTTATGACCAAATAATTCAAAATTAACGAGTTTGTTTCTTTAATAATAATAATAATTCAACAGAACACCAGGGTTTATGTTGAAAATACATGAAGATAATGCAACAAGTTTTGCTTGCATAAACATAAAAAGGTATTCACAATTGAAGTGCTATATGTTTTAAAGGTAAAAGTCAACAATCAATGAAGCATCTGAGAGAAATTTTATTGATAATGATTACATTTTAGTATATGTATGAAGCTGTACAACAAATATCAAGGTGTCAAACCTACACATTAACCTCTAATTTATCTAAATATTCCCTTGACACGCACACAAAGGAATATGAGATCAATTTGTAGAAAAACAAATCCTATAGTTGCATTCCCAAAGCTTCAATAGCTGCATGTAGAAAATAATAACAACCTGCCATAGAAGAATAAAATTTAAAGTAGAAAAACATCTAACATGTTTATATAAAAATTCACTTGAGAACAACTGGAAGAATCCAATTATTTTAAACCAAGATAATCTATGTCTATAATTATAACCTTATAAATACTTGTTTCAACCAAGCATAAAGAAGTGACTTCTAATGATTTATGAATTTGTAAACAACAGTAAAGTACTTGTCTAGAGTAGAGTATAAAGTTTTTTGAACATCAGATCATTAACAGAAGCCAAGATAAGTAGTGATGTATGAAATTTTGCATCACAATTCTTTGTAGAATTGAAAGGTTGGTTTAGTTTTATATTAATCATCCATAGCTATGGTAACAAATATGTTGTTGAACCCAAGTTTACTGTAACATTAGTTTTTTGGCACCAGAACTGTACAGAATACAAGTTAACCTATAAAGGATAAACTTTTTGGAGTTGATCTTGCAAGAGAAATCACCTGTAACATATCACAGATAACCTGAATCATACAACCAACAGCAATCTATATTTTGAAAAACATTTTATCATCAATTGTGTGACAAAAATAAAACCATCAATCACTGTAACAAGAATTGGAACAGTTTCAAGTAAAAAAAAAAACATCATAAATAATTTTGTATTTGTGCGAAAACCATCAATGACTGTAACAAACATTGGAACAGTTTCAAGTAAAAAAAAATCAAATAATTTTTTTATTTGTGTAAAAAAACAAAAAATGGTATAGTTACAAACAGAAAAAAATTAAGTATTTTTAGCCTTCTGACAATTATCAAAAAACAAAATTAATACCATAAAGAACTTAATACTTTTTTCTTTTTCATTTCATTTGTTCATTAAGAACTTAAAAAATAATTGTACTTGTTTTTTAAAGAAATGTTTTCTGGGCTGTTCTGTTGTAAAAAAAGACAACAAGAAACACCTTTATCATCTCTAGAACAAATACTTATGGGTCCAGTTCTGCCATGGATTAACAGCAGTTTGCCCTTTCTCACCAGGTGATTTGATATGTTCTTTTTTTTGGATACGAGAATGAAAGAATCTGACACATTCATCATACCATGCAATTTTTGATAACATTGCTTTTATACACTGTTATAGCCATATACGATTAAAGATGGTGTTATATTACCTTCTTTTATATTACCACAATTAGCTGAAATGTAACACCTGTAAGAATAAGAAACTGGTAAATACAAATTTTATAATGAAAGCAGTAAAATGCTTTTGAACATATAACACAAAATGTAACCCATAATGCTACCAGATCTCATATCAAAAAAGTGTTAAAGATGGCAAAAACGTTTTACAAATCTTGTACCATGAGAACAAAACATAGTGAACATTATTTTCAAATTTAATAAACATCTTGCTAGCATGATCATATACATATTTACAACCGTTTCATTAAATATTTAGCTTCTTTTGGGCAGTATAACGCCTCTTCCTGTCTGCAAAGAGGATTAACTTCTTATAAACATTGAATTTATGATCAAAGAATGAAGAGTTATGAGAGATGTGATAAGATTTTATGAAAGAAAATTGTAATTTATTTAAAAAAACAAAACAATTATTATATTTTCATCCTTATTTTTAATTATAATAGCTTTTTTGGTCCCCTTATTGCCAGGGTCCTGTATGCCCATGTGTTAATCTGGTCCTGATTGTAGTAGCCTTCTTTAACATACAGATTCTCAAAAATAAATCTACAGATCAGTTTGTAGAAAGGCAGTAAAAAATAATACTAAATTCTTATATAATCTGTGTTGGACTGAAAATAGCTCATTTCAATATTTGTGGATATAATAATTCTTTGTTGTGTGGAACATAATTTTAAGACTTGTATATAAAATAGTTTGTAGTTTCACACTTGTGTTGGTGTTTTGTGAGTGTGTTGAAATACTCTGATCTCCAATTAAACTATTACAGTTTTGAACTAAAACTTTAGTTGTGATGAGATTTCTGTGTTATGACATACAGTTTCAATGTACTTATTAATTTTCTTACACTGACAGTTGTAGTTTTCAAGGTTAACATATTCATTTAACAGAAACAAAATATTAAATTTTTAATACACAAAAAGAAGAAATATATAAAGAATTAATGTGCATCTCAGACTTTGAGTGAATTACCAAAAGTTTTGTCTTTATACATTTATAATATTAATGACTGCAGGTAAATTTAACAGAGGGTGCAACGAGTTATAAACAGGGAAACCAGAGGTTATTACAAGGCAATAAATCAGAGTATCGAGTCAAAAACATGAATGTCACAAATTAATAGAAGTTCAGCACCTTGAGAATTCTTACAATGATGACAAGTACTAAGTGACAACTTTTATCATACAAAAAATGAAGTATCATAAATTTTCATAATTATTTGATTTGGACGCAAAGGAAAATATCAATTCACACACTAAAGAAATTGATGGCTACAGAATTTAAAAAAATCATTCATGTAGACAATTTAAGATCTGTACTGTTTTAAAAACTAAGTTAAGTCACTTTGACATTTGTCATTCTACCCAATAACATGACCGATGTTATCTTCAAAAATGACATTTTGATGGAGGTGAAAAAGTTAGAATTTTCCTCTAAGAACAACTTAGATATCGTCACAAGTTGTTACAGTGTATACTATGTCATTAAGTTCATTTTCTTTCTACCCATATGAAAGTTCTAATAAATGTTAAATTTCTTTTGCCACATATTACACTGAACATATATCATAGATCAGCAGATACTACATTTTATACAAACACATTACGTCATTTAGCATTGTCAGCTTAAGTTCTTGAATGTTTTAGTAGATATTCAAATCTAATGGACCCATTATACTTGAAATATGTATTAACATCATTAAAACTCCAAGTTACTCATGTTTTCTAACATTATTCCAAAACATATACACATTTGAATGAGTATAGTCTTCTGAGGATTATCAGTAAGTAGAATCCTTAAATGTCATTATTTTTGTCAGTAACACATATATCCTTCTTATGTAAGACTTACTTGATGCTACTGATGCAGACTACTTTGTTCTGCAATCCCCCTTTTGAAAATGTTGTGCAATTGTATTGACAATTTGCTTTCTCAATTTTAATTTTCCAAATAAAATGTTACAAAATACTTAATTTGAACTTTACATTAACCAGGATTTTGTTTTAGCTTCCTACAGTTACAATCAACTTTTAGAAAATTTTGCAATTTTACTGACACCTTCTCACAGATTATTATTTATTTTTTTAAATAAAAATTACCATATACTTAGTTTGAACCATTTATTAACATGATGTTCTTGAATTGCATTTTAAACTGAACTTCTTGTTAATCTGTGCCAGTTCTATTATTTGAGCAGTCAATGAAGTTACATTAACTAATCTATAACCATTTTATTTTAAATTGTATAACAGTTACTATTTTATGCATAACCTTGATTTTGTTTTTACATCTTGCTGTTGGGTTTACTAATTAGAAATGGATACTAAGCTTCTCTAAAATTAGGAATACTGCAAAAAGTAACCTTATTTCCTTATACTAATGTAAACATAAACCTTTCTGTAATCTACAGAATGTTCACAGTGATGTAACAAGTGTTCCATTTCTAATTGGATGATGCACACACAGTTTTCATAGAATTTGTAGTGATATATTCTGGGAACATTTCCATGTAAAACAAATAAAAATAATAATAAAAGGACTTACAGTGCTTTTATCATCACAAATACATTCTTTTTCAGTACCAATGTATATTTTACAACCAACATGATCAGTATACAATTAATTTATTATTCTTAGTGATAAAAATCTTAGATGGCACTAATAAGTTTTTTTCAAAGAAATCCAACACTTACTAATGATGAGCTCAAAACAGAATAACAAAATATATTATTCTACTCCCTAGCATAAGTTATTTGCTGTGATTGGCAAAAAGTGCATCATATAGCATGAAACATTTTAAATGTTGCCTTGAAAAGCTGATCAAAAAATTGCATCAATGTTGCCTGGTTGTCAAGGCCATTGTCTTGCATGTGTGATGTTGCAGCAGAGCTTTGCAGATGAGTTTCTACAGTACAGTGAACACACATTGATTCATTTAGGCCTAGTTACAAATAATTTGCTCAAACCCGTAAAATGAATGTGGACATATTGGTTAAGATTTCAGTTACAGATGAAGAAAGTCTCATTCTAGAAAAAGACAGTAAGAGTACTAAAAACATAATCAAAGGAACTGTAAGCATATATGACATATACTGCACTGCATGGAAAGTTGACTGTGGATGATAACATCAGAAGTTTCACTAACTTTTAGACAAATTTTATGTTGAAGTTAAACAAGTGGATACATAATTTATTGTATTTTATAAACACAAGAATGTACAATCGTTTTTGCGATTTGATATTCAGTAAAAGATTTATTGAATTAGTGTGACCAAACCTCGATTAATTTAATTATTTCTCAAATAAATATTACAATTATCTAAAAAGTAGCCCTATGCCCCTGATAACCATGCTACCAGTAGTAAATAGGCCTACTAGTTGAATTGCATATAATGATACAGTGAAATGTTGTTTGGTTACAATAATAATAATCATACAGATAAATCTTATTGATTTATTATTAAAATGAGATCAAATCTTCAATGAAATGTCAAACATTTCACATTTACATGTAGCCCTGGGGATGTGGGATTAATCTACTACGTGACAGTGCTAATTAATCAAATTTTAGTAAAACAGAAAAGGAGGAAAGGATAGGAAAAAACAATTATTGACTGGTTGTTTTTGGGCAACAGATCATTTTTTTTCCTCATAATCAGTCAATAGCTGTTTACTGTGACAGCTTAACCAAACTAATTCTACCTTCTGGATAAATAATACACCGATTAGATAACTAAAATAAAATAAACAAGGGTCAAAGGCAGTTGAACTACAAATATATATTTTAGCTCGGCAAATTATCATAAAAAAATTAACAGCCAATTTTTGGAGTTAAATATTTTAAGCCATAAAAGTGTACTTTTTTCAATATATCAATCATGTATGTATGTATGTATGTATGTATGTATGTATGTGTGTGTGTGTGTGTGTGTGTGTGTGTGTGTATATATATATATATATATATATATTAAGTATCACTGAAAGCCCATGAAATTGTACTTTTACAATTAAAAAATCAGCCACACCAACTTCATAATGAAAAACAGAAAGCACCAGTTTTGTTGGATAAAAGCAAGTTGATAGTATGGTGACCTCCATGTCTTCAGAGGAAAAGGTAGCTTACAGCTATAATAAACCACAGACACTGGAATCTCCCATGGGTTTAGTGTAATGATATTGAACTAGAAGGAATATTACCAACAGAACAAAATAAATTATGCAAAGTAAAAATAAATTTGTAATGTGTGTATATGCATTTAACAGTCAAGTTTCATATTTACAAAAAATAGTTAAATCATACCAATAACTTCAAAGTTGTTCAGATTCAATGAAATCACATGTAATTTTGATGAATAATACAGATTACCTGCTTTGTTCTACTTCATCTCCAGCAATACTGGAATTCCACAAGTTACACGATCCAAGTTCTAATACATTTTCACTCAACAAGTTTCATCAGTATTTCATTTTAGATTTACCAGCAAATATTTCATGCAAGATTACACCAATATATCATCAAGTTGTCTTACAATAATTCATACAGTAGATCACCAAAACTTTCATAGTATATAGCAATACTTGGCTCTAGTGTCAGAAAAACTTTATCCAAAAGTTTATAAGTACTTCATTCTGATGTCCCGGAATATCTCACTCTAAAAAGCTAGCAACATTTCATTTACCAATCAATCACTGTCATTGTTTCCACAAGTGTTGCTCTCTGAAGGCCAGCAGTACTTCATTCAGCAGTCCACACTAACTTTTCATAGTTGCCAGAAATATTTCTCTTCTTACAGCTCTACTCCTCCAGCCAAACACTGACACTTCCAATAGATAAAATATACAATACTGTAGTTTAACAACCTACTTAGAGTAAAGTGGCACTTTTCAAGTTTTCTCGAATCACTGTATCCATGACAACCTGAAACACTACCTGTACATTACTGGTATCGGTGGCAGTAGTGAAGTGAGGATAAATTACTTTGTTGGGGTGTCGATTCTGGGCTTGAAACTTGTGCTGCACAAACAGAGCTCCACTGTCAACATCATAATCAGGACCTAGTATGAGAAAGCTTGTTTAACATACTTCTAAGAACACTTTGTAATACTTGAAACATTTAATAATTCTGAGATATTCTTTAATTAAGCTGTATAAGTGTTTTTAATATTTCTAGTTTTTATTTTATTAATCATAAATTGTGTTTTTAAAGACTATTTATAAATTTTGATATTTAATTTTCTCTATCCTTTTTGAAAGTTTTAAACTAAGTATATATATAGTAACTAGGTATTGCTGTACAAGAATTTAAGTGTGAGTACAAATATGTTAACATTTCAGCTCACGAAGCATAGGGTTATAATGCCACTGAAAACCAACATGTCTCTTTGTTAACAGTTTACCGGTTGCCCATGATGCAGTGAAAACTCTGGGAAAGGTAGCACTTAAGTTTTTAACAGAGTACAAAAGCTGTTTATGTAAAGTTATGCAGATGCATCGTAATTAGGTTTATTTTTGTTTTTCAGATTTTTTTGCACAAAGCTATACAAAGAGCTATCTGCACATACTTGTTCCAAATTTTTAACAAAGACACTAGAGGAGAGATAGTTAGTCAAAAGCACCCACTACAAACTTGAGTTACTCTTATTTGATCGAAAAATGGGATTTGACAATCACTTTTATAACACACTCAAAGCCCCAAAGTGCACAGCACATTTTGCAACAACAGGCTGCAAACCCTCAGATTCACAGTCTGAGCATGCTAGTCACTATGCCATCCCTGGCCCACATAGTTAGCAGATGGTGATGTACTCAAGGGGGTATTCATAACTAGTTTGGTTTTGTACAAAACATATAAAAGTGAACATTACTTTGAAATAAATTCTTCATTATTTGAGTTTTTCCTTTGTAAAGTTTCCAAACATGATTTCTTTAAGTTTCAAAGTAAGTCATTACTCAAACATATTCAGTTTATCATGGTATTAGCAGCTGACATAGAAAAATTCTGCCATTTATGTAGATAAGTGTAAGAACTAAATAATATTAGAAAGCATGGTAAAGTAATTTGGCACTTTCCTTGCATAGGGTTAGGTACGGCCTCTTCCTTTCAAATATAGTAAACTTTAAACTCAACAATACACAAAATGATAGACTAACTGTAATACAGAATGCCAAAGCATCATATATAACAACAGATTTATGTACTTTTATACGTAACTAGCTGAGTTACCTGGCATTGCACAGTGAAAATTTAGATTTGAAATGTATAGATCAGTATTTTTTCAGCACATTATTCAGTAAGTAGAGAAAAGCTGTGATGCGAGAAATAAAAAAGCATTTAATCAAACAAAGCTTTATTTGAAATTAGATCGTGTTTGAGCTTGTCTTGTTCTTTGAGCCTGAAGTTGTACATCATGTTGCTCCCCTGTTTCTTGCTCTCTGTAAGTTATTTGTCTTAATTTTTGTGCTTGAAGTCTGGTTTGACGTTGTTCAGAAGTTTCTTGTTGTCTATATCCAGCTTGCTTTATGATCCTGACTGAACTCTGGCTTTGTGCTGTTCAACAGTTTCTTGCTCTATTTGAGTAGCCTGCCTTTCAGCTTGAGCTTGAAGTCTAACTTTACGTTGTTCCAAAGTCTCTTCCTGTATTTGAGCAGCCTGTCTTGCAGCTTGTGCTTGAAATCTTTGATTGCGTTCTTCTTCTGTTTCAGCTGCTCTTTGTGCTTGCATTCTTTTAGCGGCAGAAGACTTTCCATAGAAAGGGTGTTTCTTGGGTGGCATAATCACCCGTATCACTAAACAATAATTTGCAATTTACAAAGTCACTAAATCACTTAGCACTATTTAAAGAAAACTGTTTTTGGAAATACTGAATTGACAGCAAGGTGATCTGAGTGTCTCCCGCTGTAATGCTTTCTATGTGCAAAACATGCTTATGTTTGTATGTTTATTACAAAAAAATGGTGGAATAATCATTAATTGTCAATTTCATCATTAAATACTACACCAAATACAAAAAAAGAGCACCATTAAATTTCTTGTAAAAAAATGGTTATTATGAAGTTATTTAAAAATTTGTAAGTTCACCCGTTTGGTTTCCTATAGCAAACAAAATAAACAAACTTACTCTTTTATATATATAGACAAGCTGAGGCACCCATCCTATGTATAAGAGTATAAGAATTGAATGTATGGAGCCTCACTACATCATTTAGTCCATATTGCCCTTTCTGTCCATGCTTTATCTGACAACTGTTCATCTTGACATTAGCCCTGCAGCATAGTTAAATTGCTAAAGGCTTTATCAAAAGGCTGTAATGACCAAATCACACCACTCATCCTTGAAGCTTTCAATGATCCATCTATTGTAAGAATATAGCGGTTTCTAAGTGGCTGTTTCAACAGTCCAATCACATAGAAATGCATAGGTGCTGCATCTAGAAACTTGACTGGTACATCATTCTATGGAATAGCAGGAATATTTTATTCTCCTGCTGCAATAATATGAGATGGTTGAATGAGAGTATGGAGCCTATCTTGTTGAACCCAAACCCTATTGGCCTTGATTCCAGATGGAGATTCCTCTTGATTATGTTGCAAACTGTTAGCTGAGACACATGAATAGCTTTTGTGGTTGTGGATTCTCAACTGTTACAAGACTGTATTTAGCTTACTATGGCTAAGGTTTCATTTGATGCAGATCTCTTTTTGGATAGTTCTGGTATTTTAATTTATCCATATTTTTTGTTTTCCAGTAACATGAAGTAGATGGGATATCCCTGTTGTAGATATCCTAAATCCCTGATATGAACATATCTTTATGACCTTAGTGTATGGATATTTTTCATCAGAAAGGGCTGTTACATACCCTTTCCAAAAGTGATCAGTATTTGGTGTCATCACACTACCTATGAAATGGCAAATGATTTCAAATTGCAGTTTTGATACATGCCATTCTATCATGACTTTATATGTCAATTGCAATTGTCAGATGAGCTGCTGACTTTCATATTCAAAATCACTTTATGATAACATATTTAACCCTGTATATGATATATTTCTCTCCTGATATGGTGCATTTGCTTTCCAAGGAAGGAAATAATGGTTATAATCCATAAAAACAACTGGAAATCACCTGGAATAATTTAGAAATGTGAGAGGACTTGAATGCATAAAAATATTGAGCTGGAAAATTATTTATTACATAGGATGACTAGATACACAAAACTAAGTTGAAAACCCATTATTCCGTGTATGGTATACAGATTGAGGTATTTATGTTGTGTATGTTGCCTGAGACACACAGACAGCTTTTACCACTGAACTGTTGTAATTATCAACTAGTTTCTAATTTTAAAACTTGAAGAATAACACCTAGTGAAGAGCAATTGGGAATGATTTTAGTAATCTACTTGTACTTAAGCTTTTGCACATTTTTTCTTAACTTCTTGCAGATGCTGTGCAGTTTTGATCATATTTATATCCAGTGCAATTACTGATACAGATAAGGCAAAACAATAATCCATACATAACCACAAAAATAGCTTTATATATATATTATACCTAATCCAAAAGAAAGAGATGGAAATAGTTGCTTTATATTCAATATACAACAAGGCCAACCTCCAACATCAGCTGTATAGTAAATCTGACTACAAAGCCACACACAACTAGTTTGAGGACCAAGTCCAAAATGATATGTGTAGCTGAATCACTCTAGTGTGAAACAGCAGTCACTTGGTTCAGTAAATAAAATTACAAAACTATCCACCAGAAGTCTGTAAATTGGAACATAAAGATCACTAATTACAAATGTATTCATAGTTACAGTGATCCTAAAACAAAACAAGAATAGTTTTTACAGCCACTTCCCATACATTATACTAACACAGTCTATCAATTTGGTATATGACTAATCTTGGCATGTAATTTTTGTTCTCAAAACTCTTATTTACCTTCTATTTACACCTGTTTAATCATCAAACATAGATTTCCGGAGAAACATGATAAATATTTTATTATAGTCTCATAAAAAGGACTTATTACTAGATTTTTTATCTTCTGTATTTAAAGGGTAAAAATCATGTACAAAATTAACAAGCCAGTCTAGTTACAAGTCTTGATATTCACCTGCTTTTAAAGGATTAAATGATAAGCATATCTTTTTATTGTAAGAAAAATGTAATTTTTGCATTTCGTAACACATTAATATATATATATATATATATATGTGTGTGTGTGTGTGTGTGTGTGTGTAGTAACTAATTACG